TTTAATGGAAAAATAAAAAGAAAGGAAGGAAGGAAGGAAGGAAAAAAAACAGCCTGCAATTCACAATCCCAGAGAACCTAGACAACAATGAGGACCCTAAGAGAGACATACATGGATCTAATCTACATGGGTAGTAGAAAAAGACAAGATCTCCTGAGGAAATTGGGAGCATGGGATTTTGGGAGAGGGTTGAAGGGGAGGGGAGAGGTGGGGAGGGAAGCAAAGAAAAATGTAGAGCTCAATAAAAATCAATACAAAAAAAGATAAAAGGAAAAAGAGAAAAAATTAAACTCCTAAGCAAAACTCTATGGCTTCAGAGTACCATTCTAACTGCAGAGGAGTCCACCGAGATGTGTGGGGTTTGGACTGGGGCAAGGGTTTGAGTGGTTTCCTTAAACCAGCTACATGATGTTTTTATTTCCAAATTAAACACTGGTTTACATTTGAATTATTTGGGATTATGGCTGGCAGACAAAAAAATAAGTATGTTCATCCAGTATATCTTAAATTATATAGTTGTCATATCTAGAAAGTCTACTTCGTTCTACTACTGAATTCTTTACTTGGCTTTCAGATCATATGAACTATATTTATATTAGTGTCTGTTTCTACAAATTTCATTGTCTTTCTCACTTTTTTTCTTCTCAGTGTCTTGTTTTGGTTTGGTTTTTGAGACAGAGTCTCCTGTAGTACAGACTAGGCCTCAAACTCCATAGCTGAGGGTGGCCTTGAACTCTTGATCCTCCTGCCTCTGCCTCCCAAGTGATGGGATTATAGGCATGTGCCACCACATCCATCATGGTATTGTTTTTAGACAGGTTTTCATTATTTGGCTCATGATTCTCTGCCTCAACCTCTCAAGTGTTGAGATTTCACAATTGTCCAGCTGTAGGGTTGGTTTTGACAGATAGATAGGTATATTGCTTTGTGGTGAGTTAAGTTCCCTTTGAGGTTTGATGCCCTATAATTTTGACTGGATGCCCAATAGTGTTAAATTTTAATTTGGTGATATAGATATGAATAATTTGCATTGATATGGATTTTGCTTTAGTGATTTAAATTTAAGGCCAATTTTGTTATATGTATATATATATTTCTGCTCTTGATTAAGGTATTGTGATTATGTGGTTCATTTAAAAATGTAATGTATAATTAGGAAATATAGGTTGCTAATGGATAATCATTGATAATAGTAAAGCTTGTAGTCATGTTATTTAGATTTTATAGATATATAGAGATATATTTCAGTTAGATAGGCATTCTTCATCTCTTTCAAAGACTACAGAATTTGGCATTTAATGTTTTAATAACTTAGGGCTTTTCATGACAATGAGACTCATCTGCTCCTTGCAGCACCAATCTACTTCAAGAGGAAGATGGGCATCGAAGAGGCTCCTTATGGAGTTGGTTAGCCATTTGGGCAAGAAACTGCTCTTGCCTGTACTGTTGCATAAACTGGACACAGAAAACCCGCAGAGAGAGGACTGCTGAAATTGCCTAAAGGTGAGATGGTCTTTAGGGGTTCCTGATTCATGAAAGAGTCTGCGAGACATTCTGCAGGACACAGCAGAAAGTGACTGAACTGCCTTTGAAATTTCCTGCTTCATGGAAAAGTCTGCTGGATACTATGGGCCTGAAGGCCGAAGATGGATGCCCCAATGGTACAAAAGGAACTTTGGGTGACTGTCCAGGCAGAGAGTTGTCTCTGTCATTTCTAGAGTTTTGGAAGTTATTTATTTCTTGTTTACTTAGATAATATTATATCCTTCCGGAGTCTTTGATGGAGTTGAAGAATGGATAGTTATAGTTTTATTTAGTTATGATAAAAGATAAAATAGATATAAATATTGTAACTGTAATTCTTGCTTGATAACTGTTTTGTTATATGTAATTTTACTATGTTAAAGTTAAAGCCTTTCTTTTTTTCTTAAACAGAAAAAGGGGAAATGATGTAGATGGATCTTCTTTCTATGTGTTGCTTTCATTGGTTAATTAATAAAGAAAACTGCTTGGCCTGATAGGTCAGAACATAGGTAGGAGGGGAAGACAGAACAGAATGCTGGTAGAAAGAAGGCAATGAGACAGATGATATAGCTCTCCTCTCCAAGATGGATGCAGGTTAATATCCTTCCCAGTAAGCCACCACCTCATGGTGCTACACACATTCTTAGAAATGGGTTAATCAAGATGCGAGAATTAGCCAATAAGAGGCTGGAACTAATGGGCCAGGCAGTGTTTATAAGAATACAGTTTCCATGTAATTATTTAGGGTAAAGTTAGCCGTGCAGGAGCTGGGTGGCAGGAAGTGGCCCACCGCTCCTTCTACAGATTGGCCCACCTCATTTCTGACACCGGAATTTGGGGACATTACAAATACTCTTGCAATTCGTTTTTGACAGAAAAGTTCATGGAAATGGTTGCATCCTTTAGTGTCATTCGTAAAGGTCTTTCAGATGAATAAAGACCTTCAGTTACACGTGATAGTGCACACCTGTAATCCTAAATATTCCAGAGACTAAATCAGGAGGATTGTCAATTTGAGGTCAGCTAGGGCAACTTAGCAAAAACATCTCAAGGTTTGAAAGGGCTGGGATGCTAGCTCAGTGGTGGAATACTTGTCTAGCAATCATGTGTGAGACTGGGAATTTGACTCCTATGTTTGACCGTGACAAAAAAAAAAATCACTGTATAGTCTTTTCTTCACTACTTGGGCAATGCCTTCTTTAATGCTCTTCTATTTCATGAACTGTAAGATTTTAACAGTTTGGCTAAAAGGAATAGACACTACTACTACTTCCAGATCTGAGTATTCTAACCATTCTGTACAACTAATTCTTTAGCCTTGGGTAGTTTCCTCAAGTGCAAGCATGGATCCATAAAGTACCTGGGAGGACCATCAATGTACAAGGGTGTCCTCTGCAAGTCTCTGCAGTCCCTTCTGCATACATACATTATTTCCACTTAGTGCTATGCCTGGCAAAATCTACACTCTGGTTGCTACAGTTTCTCTACTCTTCTCATTTCATGGGACTTCTCAGCTTTTACCTGGTCTCCATGCCAACCTTCTGCAAGGCTGATCACCTAACCACAACATCAAGAGGTTGTTGATCAACATGTGAAGAGGTTGGAAGGTTTCAAGTTCACAGACAAGTTACCCTGGTGTGGCTGCATCACCTTTAATAGCTATTTAATACCGTCTTCTGTATGTGGCCTGACATCTTTGTGACCATTAGACATGTCCAAAAATCCCCTTGGTTTCCAAGCAGACAAAGGACTACAAATGCTGTCAGATTCTTAGCTGAGGCCTACAGCAGAGTTTTCCCTGTTTTGCTGTAACAGACCTACCTACCACTTCCACCAATGTATTTGAAAAGTGCCTTGATTTATGACTTTCTTTGTTCTGTTACTATAAAAACTTTATCAAATCATTACCACTTCGGAGTGTGGAATTTGGAGTAACCTAATTTGTGTTCCTGAGCCATGGTCACTTGAATATAGCTCTAAAATAAACTCTCATCCCCATTGAGGTGAAAATTTTGCTTTTTTTAAAAATTTAATTTTGTTGTTTTTATTTTTTAGTATTGACAATCCAAAAGAAGGAAGTATTAAGTTACTTTTCTCATTACTTTAAATAAACACATTATTAAAAGCAATTTAAAGGATGAAAGATTAATTTGGCTTTATAATTTGAAAGGGTATTATCTATCACGGCAGAAAAGGCATATCTTTGGGCAGCTGTTTCCTTACTTTTGGGCATATCAAGGGGCAGAAAGAACAGGAAACAGATCTTGGCTATAAGCCTCATGATCCACCCAGCAGAGATCTACTTTCTTCAGCTAGGCTTTACTACCAGAGGTCTATGACCTTCCCAAACAGTGCCACCAACATGCACTAAGTGTTCAAACACATGAGCCTGTGGGGGACATTTATCTAAACCATAATGAAATAGAGGGTAGTTGAAAACCCTGCTGCTATCTTATACCAGACAAGAGACAGTGACCAAGCTCCAAATTGAATACTGCTTCACTTCTGTCTTCCACCTCCCACACAGGAGTTTCCTTGTGGCCCACCCATATGCAAACATAAAGGAAAAAGGCGAGCAGCTGAGTCTAAACTAAGTTCATCCACAGTCTTAGACTTCTGTGCTAGACCGATAACCATAATCAAAAGCAAGTTGGAGAGGAAAGGGTTTATTTGGCGTACACTTCTACTTCTTGTTCATCACTGAACAAGAAAGTGAGGACAGGAACTCAAACAGAGTGGAAACCTAGAGACAGGAGCTGATGCAGAGACTGTGGAGGGGTGCTGCTTACTGGCTTGCTCCTCATGGCTTGCTCAGCCTGCTTTCTCGTAGAACCCAGGACCACCAGCGAAGGGAGGACACCACCCACAATGGATTAGGCCTTCCCACATCAATCATTAATCAAGAAAATGCTCTACTGACTTGCCTGCAGGCAATCCAATAAAGGCATTTTCTCTGTTGAGGTTTCTCTTCCTAGCTTATGTCAGGTTGACAAAAACACATCAGCGACACAAACAGGATGCATACTATGAACCTGTCACATAAAGTACTTTATCATTTAAGTCAGTTTAGTGAGAGAGCTATTTTGCCCATTTTCATCTATCCCAATTTATTCCTACTACAGAGAAAATCATGTGTTTATCTTGTATCTTTCACTCTTGAGATTTTCCTTAATTTGACTGGTATTTATTAATGTCTCTTGAATTTTCTGAAAGCACATTTACATCAAAAATGTCAAAACTCTTCTTTAAATATTTACTTTGCTATATAATTTTCTTTCGTAATTGTAGTTATTAGAATCTGAAAGAATTATATGGACTAGTAATTACAACAACTTACCTGATCATCTTGAAAGCATTGTGGTGTATCATTCCAGAATATTTGTTTTTTTCTTTCTTTATAGCTTTTAAAAATTAATTTTAGCTCGGCCGCGAGCCCTCGTCCCGCTCAGCCGCCGCTCCGTCCCGCAGCAGCCTGCCTAGTGTCCGGCAGCATGTTCAGCTGGGTGAGCAAGGATGCCCGCAGCAAGAAGGAGCCGGAGCTCTTCCAGACGGTGGCCGAGGGGTTGCGACTGCTGTACGCGCAGAAGCTGCTGCCGCTGGAGGAGCACTATCGCTTCCACGAGTTCCACTCGCCCGCGCTGGAGGACGCTGACTTCGACAACAAACCCATGGTGCTCCTGGTCGGCCAGTACAGCACCGGCAAGACCACCTTCATCCGCCACTTGATCGAGCAGGACTTCCCGGGGATGCGCATCGGGCCGGAGCCCACCACCGACTCCTTCATCGCGGTCATGCACGGCCCCACCGAGGGCGTGGTGCCGGGCAACGCGCTCGTCGTCGACCCGCGGCGCCCCTTTCGCAAGCTCAACGCCTTCGGCAACGCCTTCCTCAACAGGTTCATGTGTGCACAGCTGCCCAACCCGGTCCTGGACAGCATCAGTATCATCGACACTCCCGGGATCCTGTCTGGCGAGAAGCAGCGCATCAGCCGAGGTTATGACTTTGCGGCTGTCCTCGAGTGGTTTGCTGAGCGCGTGGACCACATCATCCTACTCTTTGACGCCCACAAGCTGGACATCTCAGACGAGTTCTCAGAAGTTATCAAGGCCCTCAAAAATCACGAGGACAAGATCCGTGTGGTGCTGAACAAGGCGGACCAGATTGAGACCCAGCAGCTGATGAAAGTGTACGGGGCTCTCATGTGGTCGCTGGGGAAGATCATCAACACCCCCGAGGTGGTCCGGGTCTACATTGGCTCCTTCTGGTCACACCCATTGCTTATCCCTGACAACCGGAAGCTCTTCGAGGCAGAGGAGCAGGACCTCTTCAACGACATCCAGTCTCTACCCAGAAATGCTGCCCTTAGGAAGCTCAATGACCTGATCAAGCGGGCCAGGCTGGCCAAGGTCCATGCCTACATCATCAGCTCCCTCAAGAAGGAGATGCCCAATGTCTTTGGGAAAGAGAGCAAGAAGAAAGAGCTGGTGAATATCCTGGGAGAAATCTACCAGAAAATCGAGCGGGAGCACCAGATCTCCCCTGGCGACTTCCCGAGCCTGCGCAAGATGCAGGAACTCCTTCAGACTCAGGACTTCAGCAAGTTCCAGGCCTTGAAGCCCAAGCTGCTAGATACAGTGGATGATATGCTGGCCAACGACATAGCCCGGCTGATGGTGATGGTGCGCCAAGAGGAGTCCCTGATGCCCTCACAGGCTGTGAAGGGAGGGGCTTTTGATGGCACCATGAATGGGCCCTTTGGGCATGGCTACGGAGAGGGGGCTGGCGAGGGCATCGATGATGTTGAGTGGGTGGTTGGCAAGGACAAGCCCACCTACGACGAGATCTTCTATACGCTGTCTCCTGTCAATGGCAAGATCACCGGTGCCAACGCCAAGAAGGAGATGGTGAAGTCCAAGCTGCCGAACACCGTGCTGGGGAAGATCTGGAAGCTGGCTGACGTGGACAAGGATGGCCTGCTGGATGATGAGGAGTTTGCCCTGGCCAACCACCTTATCAAGGTCAAGTTAGAAGGCCATGAGCTACCTGCTGACCTTCCTCCACATCTCATCCCACCCTCCAAACGGAGGCATGAGTGACAGCTGTGCTGACACACCCCCAAGCTCCAGGGCCCTGGCACTTTCTACCTGCCAGCGCCTTGCCTGCCCATGTGGGCCTGAGCCCGGAGGGGCAGAGATTTGGGGAGGGAAAGGGTCACCATCTTTCAAGGTCCATAAAGACTGAGCAGCGTTTCCTCACCTCTTGAATAGGAAAACCACCATCTTTCTTTTAAAGCTGTCGGGGGTTCAGCGGGGAGGCATGGGTGATGCTTGGATGTGCACAAGAACCATGAATATTTTTAATATATAATGTTAGAGGCAGCCTTCTTTCTTGCCTCCTCCTCTGTCTGGCAGCCCCACACTCAGCCTTTCCTTTTGCCCTGCCTTGCCCAGGCAGCCATAGTGACTGGGGATCCACCCCTCACAGCCCACCCTGGCACACCCATGTGTAGACAGGGGCCCCCCAGCTCTCTCAGTTTGTTTTCAACCTGAGGTTTATTCATGGGGCAGTGACTCGCTTCCTGCTAGCACTCGGGGAAGCTGCTTCAGGTCTCTGCTGTGGTCGGGGTGCATACCCTCCTGTTGCTTCCACACCCCGTCTCTGACACCCCAGCCAATACAGCAGCCACAGGTTAAGACCCAGCCACTGTTAACTTTTGTGGGGACTGGAGGGGTGAGAGACGGTGTCCTCCAGGAAAACACATAAGCTAGGCATCGTTCTGTAAGCGAACTCTTTATACTTGACCAGGTTTCCAGTAACTCCACAACACTTGTTCAAAGCTGTGATCTTTGTCTTCCCTTTCCTGTACCCTAGCGTCCATCAGTTCCAGCAGAGAGCAGACCCCTTGGCCTTGGCTCTGTAGTCTAGCTGAGGGAAGGCCATCCTAGCTCCTGCTCTTGAGTGCTCTGAAATGTCCTCACTTCATCAGTCTTCACGGCAGCTTCCTGGAGCCCCTGGCTGCCTGGGGTGGGCAGTGGGGCCTGTGACCTGGGGTGGTCTGGTGCTGGTAAGAGGAAGCCTGTGGCTCTGGCCTGGGTGTAGTGGCCGAGCAGCAGGACAGGGGAAAACCCAACCCCTTCCCTCTCTTTCCTTCCTCCCTCCTCCCCTGCTGAGCCAAGGAGGTCTGGGTGTCCTGAGATCCCCAGACCGAGCAGTAAGAAGCCAGAGCTAGCAAATGACCACTTTAACCACCCCACTGCAGCCTCTGGGACAGGTACACCCTATGGCCAGTGGTTGGCTGTCAGGGTGGGCTTTCTACTGAGGTGGGTGGGGCAGCTGCAGCCTGCTCATCCCACACCGCAGGTGGGCTTCAGGGAGCTGCCTACCACCTCCCAGCACTGCTCTGGGCCTTGTTGATGCTGAGCTCCAGCCTGCTAGCTCCCTGCCTCAGCTGAGAGTTAGGTGAGATGACCTCACAGGTTCACTAAAGTCCAGCCGGCTCAATCCTCACCTGTGTGTGTGGGGGGGGGGGGGTGCCTGAGCAAAGACTTTGTTCCTTGCATTAAAGAAAGTTTAATTGTGAAAAAAAAATTAATTTTACTGTTTTGACAGAAACATAGTATCTGTCGTTGTGATGATGTGGTGCATGTACACATTGCACAGCGAACAAGTCAGGGTAATAGCATTTCTATCATCTTAGGTAAGCAGGTATCTCCTACTTCTACTCTGTGCTTTTATTAGGAGTACTTGGTAGATTTTTTTTTACTTGATAGATTTTATGAAAGCTTTTAAAGTACGTTGTCAATACTACCCTAATATAACATCCCATAGTTGATTTTGTTATGAATTACACTGATAGGGCTATTTATACTGAACCACAATACTTACTTATACCCAACCACTTTTGTATTCCATGAATGTATTTAACACAATGATAATACCTTTGACATTATCAGCTCAGAATTCTTTCAGCTGCAAGGATTAGAAAGCCTATCACAAAACATCCTCAACCATAAAGACATCTGAGCTCTTTAGCACCAAAAGAAATGGTCATTTTAGGGGTTGAATAGCATCATCAAGGACTCCGGCTCTTTTATTTCCCACACTGTCATTACCAGGATGCAGCAATAGAGAAGTTGATTGCATTGTTCAGCATCTGACTTCTGATAGCTCTTCCCCTCTATGCTTTGCATGCCAGCAAGCTTGTCAGAAAGTCCTGATTCTCCTTCCTCTCCCTTTGAGACCTGACATGGCTTCAAAATCTGCAGTCCCCTTCTACTCACAAATCCTTTCATTCAGCACACCTCCTAAGCACTGTAAAAACCCATTCGTGGGCCGGGCGATGGTGGTACACGCTTTTAATCCCAGCACTCGGGAGGCAGAGGCAGGCGGATCTCTGTGAGTTCGAGACCAGCCTGGTCTACAACAGCTAGTTTCAGGACAGGCTCCTAAACCACAGAGAAACCCTGTCTCGAAAAACCAAAAAAAAAAAAAATTCGTGTTTCCCTTCCTTACTCATCTTGGGATGCCTATCCTCGTGGTCCTAGGAAGCCTCCTTGGAACCAGCCATAAATCTCCCCTCATCCTCTTGATATATGTATAGTATCATCAGACTTGACACCAAAAGCAATTTTTGGTGGAGATCTTCCCTCCTGTCTAAAATTAGCACTGTAAGAAGGGTGCCAAGACCATAGTCTTAGCATCAAAACCTCCATAGCCATGAGCCCTTTTTATCTTGCTTTGACTTGTCAACTGGCTGATGCCTGGGAGGGGGCTCCACATGTACTTTGAGCTGTTGCATGATGTCTAGCTTGTACTCTGGGTTGGACTTTGCTCTTCTGTGTTTGATGGGTTCTACAGAAACTATGGTATAGATTTAACCGACCTAAATCAGAGGGTTTGGTCATTAATAATTAATTAGCATACCAGTATGGGATAGGAGCGTCGCTTGTGTATTTTTGGCCTCGACCAATCTGTGTATCTCAAAATGGACCATTTGTCTTCCTTTCTGTGTAAACTGTGACTGGCAGTAAGATGAGGGGAAAGGCTTTACCCTAAGACTGCCTCTATGTATCAAGAAAGCACTGCAAGCCAAGCATAGCAACACACACAAGTAATCTAAACGCTCAGGAAGCTGAGGCAGGAAGATGGCAGGTTAAAGTCAGCCTGGGTTACATGGTAACACAATAGCAATTAGAGCTGCAACATAGAAACATCAGGATATCTCTGATAAATAAAAGGACCCAAGTATCAATACAGTTGTTCAAACTTCATACAGATAGCTTAGCATCTTTTTTTTCTGGCTGAATATTAGAATCACCTGCAGCATTTTTCAGACTCTTGGGCCACTGACAGTGATCTGGCTCTCTGGTTTGTCCAGTGACAACAATAATTCCTTTCCCAAGGTTCCTCGCTTTGATTTAAGGCACTCTGACAATCTACTACCTCATAGACTCATATTTTGGGTATGGTGCCAGTTAAGGTCACACATACCTTGTGCATAGCATATATTTAAATCACAATGCAGGTCTTCACCAAGACATTTCTTGACCCCTTTACTGATAGTGACCAAGGCACTTATTCACTTCTCAGAAAACATGATTCCGGGCTATTGGACAAAGCATTAAACGACATTTTCACCTTATTTATAAGCTTCAAGCTTCAGGCCTCAAAGAGTGTGACAATCTCATTTAAACGAATTTAAATTCAATTAAATGAAGCATGATACATTTTGTCATCAGTCAGAAATCGGGGTGAATTACAATGAAAAGCCGTAATCTATAGGGTGTGTGTGCATAGGTGGTAAGGCCAAGGCATCGCACACACTAAGCACGTACTCTCCTCTGAACTGTACCCCTAGCTCCACGATTCCGTTTTTGTTAGATTTATAATAGCTTTTAAGACTTGGCTCTGCACTCTCAGTGTGCCCTACATTTGGCAAAGTGCTAGCAAAGCTTTAGTGCTTCCTCTTTTGGTACCGGCAAGTTTCAAACCATACAAGCCCCTACACACATAAGGATCATTCTAAGACACACACAATTAAAATTCCAAGCTTATCTCTTTCCTTACTCTCTCAAGGTAAGCTTTTAGACCAACTCGGGAGGTACTGCTGGCCTTTTCAAAATACCATTGTATAAATAATTATCATTTTCATATTTCATTAATGTGTTTATGAGATCATCTGTCCCACTTAGGGTTTCTTTTAAAAGATTTATTTATTTATCTATCTACCTATTTATTTACTTATTATGTATACACTGTTCTGCCTGCATGTATGCCTGCAGGCCAGAAGAGGGCATCAGATCTCATTATGGATGTTTGTGAGCCACCATGTGTGTGCTGGGAATTGAACTCAGGACCTCTGAAAGAACAGCCAATGCTCCCAATCACTGAGCCATCCCTCCAGTCCCTAGTTAGGGTTCCTATTGCTGTGACAAAACACCATGACCAAAGCAACTTGGGGAGGAAAGGGTTATACTTCCATGTCACAGTCATAATCAAAGGAATTCAAGACAGGAAATCAAGCAGAGAAGGTACTTGAAGTCAGGCGTTGATGCAGAGGCAATGAAGGGGAGCTGCTTACTGGCTTGCTCCTCATGGCTTACTTAGCTTACTTTCTTATAAAACCCAGGACCACCAGCCTAGGGATGACACCACCCATGATGGGTTGGGCCCTCCTCCATCAATCACTAATTAAGAAAATGCTCTGCAGGCTTGCCTGTAGCCTGATCTTACAGAGGCATTTTCTTTTATGTATTTAATTGATGGCATTGATGGCATAGTAGTTTTGTTTTATGAAGACCTTTACTCCTGGGGTCTATATTTTGCTTCTGGAATATCCTCTGTAACTGGCCTATGGTGATGCTGTAATTGGATCCTTGTTGTGGCCACCTTAAGACCTAGAATTTCAGGACATTTCTGACCACCTCAACACAGTGGCCATCTGGAGGTGGCTTCCTCTGCATTTTTTAAGTGAGGTTCCCTACTTTCAGACAATTTTAGCTTGTGTTAGGTTGACATAAAACTAGCCAGCAGACACTCCAAATTAAAATCGAGGTAGAGGTTCATCCTGTTCCTACATAACAGTCACAATAAAAGTCTTCTCTGTCTCTTCTCATGGTCTCCCAGGACGTACTGTGGCTCTAAGCAACGCATCCGTGTACCATTATCCCAAAAGATGGTGACTCATGGTAAAAGAGTTTCGCTTTCCTGTGACTCTGCCTTATGCACAAGGGAAAATCTTCCTCTGAAATCTACAGCAGGTTTCCCGATTCCAACACATCTCTCAGTTGATCACCAACCACAGGGGACAAGACTGACTAAAATGAAATCACAAGGCAGTGAGCCAGCCTATAAAGCACGTGGAGGAAGTTTGCTGTTGCAATCAAAAAAGTTGAGATATGCCATAAGGTGGGAAAAAAACCTTAATAGGTTCTGGAGTGCTTTACAATGTGTGTAGGCTTAAGAAAGACAATGGGTATAGGGAGTCATACAAAGAAAATCTTTAAAGAGACAGCAAAAGTAATATAAAAGGAAAAAGCCACATGAAGATGGGAAATACACAGGGAGTCTGGATTCTGTATATTATTTTGTTGAGTTTGAATTTTTTGATTGCTGAGAAGCACTGGGCAGCCACTAAGAGACCTGGAATTGAAAGAGGGACTGTACAAATAAACCAGCCTGGATATTTTAAGAATGCCTTAACTTTAAAAAAGTCAAAAAATGTATTTGTCAAATAGAAATCAAAAGTCCTCTGGAGAACAGGTTTTGCTTTTGTTTTCACAGGAAATAAGAGGCTGTGGATTCGTTCCAAGTTGATGTGGATCTGGTTTGATCAAGGGAGACATCGTGAAATTTGACAAGTGATATCAGCAAAGGTTATAACTGGTCTTCCCAGGACTTGGCTATTATCTCAAATTTTCCCTCTGGAACCCTAAAATTATTTCACCCGCAATCAGCAGGAAGCAGTCTAGAGAACACAACATCCACATTCCCAAGAAAAAAGAGGTGTGGGTGGTCTTTGGTTATTTTGTGGGTCATGGATGTTTGTTATAATTTAGGAGAATACAGGAATATAGGATAAAAAACAATTATTAATCTCCTATATTTTGCCTTGGCATGGATTTTGGTATAAGGATATAAATCCAAAGTCAATTTTGTTATGCTGTATATATATTTTTATTCTTGTTTAAAGGACCTTTGTGTATGTTTTTACAACACACTGTGTATATATTTCTACTCTTATTTAAAGAATTTTTGTATATTGAAACCAATTTAAGGTTATTTTGTAACAACATATTGTATATATGTTTTTGCTCTTGTTTAAGGTATTGTACCTCTGCAGATCATTTAAAAATGTAAGGTAAAGTTCTAGTTTTTGAAAACTATTATTATGAACTATTTAGAATAATCAAGAAACACAGGCCAGTAGTTAGTCATATATAACAATCAAATTTGTAGGTAAGCTAGGTATGTTTTCCAAATAATATAGACATATTATAGATAGATAGATGGTCTTTAAATACGTCTAAGACTTATAGAATATGGCATTTTAAATATTTTGTTAATTTAAAGTTTT